ACGAGTTGCGAGACGCACAGAATGCACGGGCAGAGCTTGAGGCTGAGGATGCTGATCTGCGTGAGCGTCTTGCTGGTGCTCTTGTTGCTGCTGACCTTTTGGTTGCTGAGCGCAATGTACAGGCTGCGAAGGTAGCTGAGCTGACAGATGCCGTTTCCCGTCTTGAGAGTAATGAGGATGCTCCTGCCCTCGCTGTGGAGGCGCTTGCCGCGGAGCTGCGCGAAACTCAGGACCGCCTGCGTGAAGCTGAGGCTGAGTCCCGTGCTGCTGCTGAGCGTCACGTTGCAATGACTGTGGAGCTGACGGAGCGACTGGAGGTGGCAGAAACACAGTTGCGCACCAGAGATACGGAGCGCCGCCAGTCTGCGACGGCGGACCGAGAGGCAGCAGAAGCGGCACGTGAACATGATGCTTCATTGAGTGTACAGCTATCATCTGCGTTGGCAGCTCTAGAGCGACTCGCAGAGGAGCGTGAAGAAGCAGCTGAGAAGGCGTTACAGATGGAGGCGTGCATAGCATCTTTGGAGGAGTCATTGCACGAACTACGTATGTTACTATCGGAGAGTCGTAATGAAGCGCTTTCCCTTAGAGAGGATCTAGATGTAAAGGGTAAATTGTTGTCTGATGCTCTCTCTGCTTTAGATCGTGTTGGTGCTGATCATGCAAATTCAGAAATTGAGTGGGGTGAGCGTAGTGAACGTTTTCTACGAACATTTGAAGAATTGCAGTCACAGTTTGCTGTCACAAAGAAAGGTTTTGAAGAGCAGTGGCAACGGCGTAGTGAGGCTTGTACCGCAGAGTTAATTGCTGCACGACGTAGTGCACACCGTGCCACTGAGGCTCGAAAACGTGCGGAAGAACGCGCGGCATTGTGTATGCAGGAGTGGGAACAAATGCATGGGGAACTGCTTAGATTACAGCGAGAGTATCGTGTGGTTGAGCGTATAGTTCGTGCACATGGCTTATATTCTACACCGCACGTAGATGATATTGACGAGAGTGGGGAAACACCTCCAGGTGTTCGTCCGTGGAACTCTGAAGGTGTCGATCTAGCTCAGTTTTTACAGATTTCTAGCTTACAGGCGGATCTCATGCTTTCCCGTAAAAAATGTCGTCTTTTAGAATCTAGACAAGAGGAGTTACAGGCGGCATTGGAAAGAAGTGAGTTACAGTTGGCTTCACTTCCTGCAAGTGTTGAGGAAAGTCACATTGAGTTACGACGTGTACGGGATCAGCACGAGACTCTTTTACATGAACATCAGCGATTAGAGGAGAAATATGAAGCTGTTAAAAAGCAGAGGATAGAGGAAGTAGAGCAGCTTCGCCAGCAAAGTGAACGGTTAATGCAGCAGTTAAGGGAAAAACGAGACAAACTGACAACTTTAACACGACATATGCGGGAATCAGAGTTATCAGCTAAGCAACAAGCAGAAGAGTTATCCGATGCATTTAATGTATTGGATGGACAGATGCGTCTACTGCGAAGTGAAGTTGAATCAAATTCCCGACAGTCACGATCTTCCAGACAGCATAATGAAAAGGTAGTAGCGGATGCGGAAACGAAGATGCTGCAGGGACGCATTAAATTCTTACAGCGCACTCTTCAACAGAAAGAAGAAGAAATACGCCGCCTCCAAGAGGAGCTCGAACGCAAAGAGGAGTTGCTTGATAGTTTTGAAGATCAGGTAACAAGTGCCACACATGATTTGGAAAACACATCGCGAAAGAGCGCCCAACTAGAACAAACAGTGCATCATTTAAAACGCAATAATCTTGAGTTGCAGGAAGAAATACGCATCCTGAAATCCCGAGCTACAGTTCACTCAGAGCAGCAAAACACACCGACTTCATCAGGATTACGTGTTGCTGTACAGCGGTCATCTTATGTATCGCGCGTTACGAGTACAACTACGACACCTGTTCGAGGAACAGATGTCGTGCGCGATTTAACTCCATCTTCTCGTGGTAGTAGCATAGAAGGTCAACAAGAGCATCAGACAGAATCAGAACGACGTGGTAGAAAACGTTCACGCTCTACAAAAAGAAGATAAGCCATGAAACCAACAAAAAAAAAAAAAAACCAATAGAAGCAATGTCTCTAACAATAGTGTTCCTCTTGGGATCAGTTCTGTCTTTTTTTTTTGCAATTTGAATCTCATTCAATCCACTGTATCTGTATTGAAACGACTGACTCTAAAAGAGAAATGAAAGAAATCAACAACAGAGCCTATCACATATAGAATCGCCAGAAAAATACAAGGACCGAGAAGAAACATTATATATATATATATTCAAAGAGAAGAAAAATAAAATATTGCTTAAACGCAAGGTATCCCAACAAAAACAACAACAGAAACTAACAATCATTTCAGGGTACACGAGTTTTTCAGAAAAAAAAAATGAATCCAAGTAAAGAAAGACACATTCATTACCATACACGATATTATATCCTCAACAGAACAACAGAAACAAAAATTTATTTTATAGCTTAACACTACTAAGTTAACATATTCCAGAAAAGCAACATAATATGACTTCTAAACCACTTCAACAAATATTCATCTACTACATCTTTTTTAGCCTTTTATTAACCTACAATTAACTGAAACCAAAAAAAAAAGCTAAACTAATTCAAGGAAACATGGGTCCAACCATCCACAAGAACCTGACGTGCCCTGAGCTGGTGCAGTGGGCACTGAAGCTTGAGAAGGACTCGCGGCTGACAGCCCGTGGTGCTCTTGCCGTGCTGTCGTATGCAAAGACAGGTCGCTCCCCACTTGACAAGCGTATTGTGGACACGGAGGATGTTCATAATAACGTTGACTGGGGTAAGGTGAACATCAAGCTATCAGAGGACTCCTTCAAAAAGGTGAGGAAGCTCGCGAAGGACTTCCTCGACACGCGTCAGCACCTGTTCGTGATGGACTGCTTTGCGGGACACGATGAGCGATACCGGCTGAAGGTGCGCGTGATCACGACGCGTCCGTACCATGCTCTTTTCATGCGGGATATGTTGATTGTGCCCACCCAGGAGGAGCTGGCGTCGTTTGGTGAGCCAGACTACACGATCTACAATGCTGGCGAGTCGAAGGCTGACCCATCGATTCCCGGCGTGACGTCGACGACGTGTGTTGCGCTGAACTTCAAGACACGCGAACAGGTGATCCTTGGCACGGAGTACGCTGGCGAGATGAAGAAGGGCATCCTCACTGTGATGTTCGAGCTGATGCCGCGCATGGGCCACCTGTGCATGCACGCAAGCGCAAACGTTGGCAAGAGGGGCGACGTGACGGTGTTCTTCGGTCTGAGCGGAACCGGCAAGACAACCCTCTCGGCAGACCCGCACCGCAACCTGATTGGCGATGACGAGCACGTGTGGACGGACCGCGGTGTGTTCAACATCGAGGGTGGCTGCTACGCCAAGGCAATTGGTCTGAACCCCAAGACGGAGAAGGAAATCTACGACGCAGTGCGCTTCGGTGCTGTGGCGGAGAACTGTGTGCTGACGAAGGCGACAGGGGAGATCGACTTCTACGACGAGTCGATCTGCAAGAACACACGCGTGGCATACCCACTGAACCACATTGAGGGTGCGCTGACGAAGGCCGTCGCTGGCCACCCGAAGAACATCATCTTCCTGACAAACGACGCGTTCGGCGTGATGCCACCCGTGGCCCGCCTGACAAGCGCACAGGCTATGTTCTGGTTCGTGATGGGCTACACCGCGAACGTGCCCGGTGTGGAGGCCGGCGGATCGCGCGTGGCCCGTCCCATCTTTTCATCGTGCTTCGGTGGTCCGTTCCTCGTGCGCCATGCAACCTTCTATGGTGAGCAGCTGGCTGCGAAGATGCAGCAGTACAACAGCCGTGTGTGGCTTCTGAACACTGGCTACGCTGGTGGACGCGCGGACCGCGGTGCAAAGCGCATGCCACTGCGTGTGACGCGTGCTATCATCGACGCAATCCACAACGGCACCCTCGATGAAGCAGACTACGAAGTGTACCCTGGTTGGGGCCTGCACATCCCGAAGCACGTTGCCAACGTTCCAGCACATCTGCTGAACCCACGCAAGGCATGGACGAACGTGAAGCAGTTCAACGATACGTCGAAGGAGTTGGTGAATATGTTCCGTGCAAGCTTTAACGAGCGCTTTGCGGCGAAGGCGTCGGAGGAGATGAAGAGCGCCGTCCCCCGCTATGTGGAGGCATCCAGTCTGTAGGAACCTTGGGTTGTGTAACATACTCTTCACCAAAACAGGTGAAGCGACGTAATAAGCAAAAGAAAATGTATTGGTTATGCGCGTTATTGGGTATTGTTATACAAATTTATTTACTTTAATTTTTGTAGTATTAATAAATTTTTAGGGTACGTGTAGAAGTAGGTTTTTTTTCCTTGTAGTGGTCACGTAGAAAAATGTTTTTAAGTAATTTTTTTTTTCTTGCGCTATATAATCGTTTTTTTTTTTTTTAATTCGTTGAGGTTGAAGTTTGTTGTTTTTGTCTGATTTTTTTTTTGTTGTTGTTGTTTGTTTGTGTGATTATTGTTTATTTGGTTTTTGTTTATTTTTTAATCGTGTAAATTCATTTCTTGATTTTTATTTCTTTTTTGTTTTACTATTTTTCAAGTAAGTTTGTTTTTTTATTAAAGGGGGATCTGGACCTTTTCTTCTTTAGCAATGTCGTCTTCTAAGGGCGAACATTTGAAGGTGCGAGAAGGAGATTTGATTGACTTGCGCTTTAAAGTTGTGCATGAAGTCGGATGTGGCAATTTTTCAAAGGTCTATTCCTGTTATGATGTTACTCGACCTCGTTGTGAGAAGCGTGAACTTGTCGCCGTTAAAATTATTAAAAAGGAGTATAAGGAAGATGCCTATTTTGAAAAGCAGATGTTAGAAATTCTTCGTAGTAAAGATAAAGGTAACAAATGTGTTTGCCGAATGATGGAGTTCTTTGAGTGGAAGCGGTGTCCTGTGTTTGTGATGTCTATTCACGGACCGTCGTTGCGTTCACGTCGTTTAGGCTACAGCGGCGGTGTGGTAACCCGTACTAAACTTGTCCAATTGGCCCGTTCATTGTTAGAAACATTTCGGTTTATTCACTTTGATTGTCGAATGGTACATACAGATGTGAAGCCGGAGAATATTCTCATTGCCGATGTGGATACACCAAAACACTCTATTGGAAATAATTGGGTGGTGTGTGATTTTGGTAGTGCTTCCTTATGGCGAATGGACCGTTTAGATGCAGATCTTATCTCTACAAGACCGTATCGAGCACCGGAAGTTATTTTAGGAAATCCATGGTTTTACGCTGCGGATATGTGGAGTATAGGTTGTATTTTGTTTGAACTCGCCACTGGACAACGATTATTTGAGGTTCGTGATGATCTTACACATTTATATTTGATGGAAAAACGACTTGGACCTTTACCAGATATTTTTAAGAAAAAATCAAAAGAATCTGCAAAGTTTTTCTCATCTCAGGGAGAATTTCTACGTGAGAGTGATTTAATACGTACAGGTAAGGTTTGTATGAAAAAGATATCGGATGTATTACACGATGATGAAGATCTTTGCGATCTCATCTCATGTATGCTCATTTTTGATCCTTTTAAGCGTATTACCGCAAAAGAGGCTCTAAAACATCATATTTTTAGTGATATTAATAATGGTCAAAGCGAAACTTTAGGCGGCGTTGTAAAGTCAACAAACAAAAATGTGATAACTGCTGGTGATTCCAATATATCAAAGCCAATCAAAACGGAAGATATAGTTAAATACCACTGGATGCGACCATATGATGATATTCAGTATGGTGTTAATAAAAAAGTGCCTATGCGTGGGAGTTCTGCGCCGGCTACGTACAATCCCAGTAGTGCTGTAGTGAATGCCCAATTAGCAAAGCGGGAAGTTATGAAGAATATTGCAGGAGAATCACAAATATTACTACCAGTATCAATACCACCACCACCACCACCACCACCAGCAACAACAACAACAAGTACAACTACAACAAGTGCAACGACAATGAAGGAAGAAAAAGAAAAACAAAAGGAGGAAGTGAAATCACCATTACAACTGTTACCACAACAAGAAAAACCACAAGAACAAGAAGAAGTGAAAAAGAGTGTAGTAGAGGATACTGTGATTCCATCATCTCCCAAGAGAGTGGCTTTACCATTAAGTGCATCTCTCCGGTCTCGTGATAATTCTTCTTCACCGCATAGAAGTGAACGATTCTGTAAGATGCGTGGTCTTCCTATAGGACAAACTAAAATGGATCAACCATCACAAACTGGTGTGAATACAAATAATAAACGTGAAGTGACAAATCCACAAACTTCTTCTTTGCTAACTAGTATTAAACCTATGAAATCGGATGTAACGGAGGATGTAAGTAGTGGTATGGATAGTGCAACCATTACAGAAAATAATAAGTGTTTTTCTCCTATTTCACTTGGTGAAGATAAAAGTCCCCCGCGAGAACGTCTTCAACCTTTACTGGCAGTTACAGAAGCTAGAACACATCCAGCACGAGACTCTGCAGATGATTGTTTAACAAATGAAGGAACTTCTGCAGATACAGGTAATGGGGAAACAGATGTAGGATCACCTTTACCACCCTCTGTAGAAGAAACAGATGGAATGATATTAACATTACCAGTTGTTCAACAGAAACCATCTGAAAGTGTTGGAACTGTAAATGGAAATTCCTTTGCAGCACCTTTAAGTGGACTTTACACCCAAACACCAGCATTAACACATGTGATTTCATCTCTTGAGAAGTCTGAATCTTTACCTTCTGCGACATGCTCTACTACCATACAAAGTAGACGTACAAAGAGTACACCACCACCGAATCTTCTTTCATGGTCAGAACCGGGTGTACAGGAATCTATCACACCAAAGAAAACCATTCCAACACCTCCGGTGATTCCAAAAGATACGGAAAAAATCTCCAATGTACCCATATCGGATTTCCCTGGAAAGAGTTATAATAATAATAATAACACTAATAATAATAATATTTCCTCAAGTTCTGGTACTTCTGCTATTACGGTTTCCATGACATCTGTGAGTACATCGAATAAAAACTCTAATGGAAGTGGTCCCGTGCAAGGAACGATTACACGGCGAAGTATACCGAATCCACCACCTTCACTTGCACTTCGAAAATTTGCCCAACAATTACGACCAGGTATAATTAATTCTGTTGCTAATATGAATCAGAGAGGTACATCGCAAAGTGCTTCTAAACGCACAGATACTGTTGGTAAATTCCGACAACGCAGTGGAACACATGTAATTACCCCAGGAGTTCCACCCGTTGTAGATGTAGGACGTTCACATCGTGCAAATTCACTTTGTATTCCATTATATCAACAGGGATTACCAAAAGAAAATACATCTACAGGTATTAGTGCGAGTGCCGTTGCGGGTAATCGTATCCATTTCCCACAAGTACCAAATATGTTTGCTAGTAAATCCCCAACTGTACCAGTACCGCCTCCTCGTCAATTTTCTTCTTTTGTGAGTGGAAAGGCAGTGCAGGGAGCTCAGGCACCACAGGTACAACAAACCTTGGCAAACTCACGAGTGGTAAAACGACAAGTTATTCAAAAAACGGCTTTACCACCAAATAGTAGTGGTGTAGTTGTAAAAACGAAAACAATAGATCCACAGGAGAAGACAGAGAAAACAATGTCTTCTTCGCAGAATACACGAGAGAAAACACTAGTGGTAGGAGGAGGAGGAGAAGGAGGAGTAGAAGGAAGAAAAGAAAATAATAATAATAATAATAATAATATTAATAATAATATTAATAATATCGGTGGTGGTGGTGGTTCCAATAAAGAAGCCTCACCTCGAGGAAAGAATGATAAACCATACACGAAGGAAAGTGCAGGGAGTACAAGTGATAATCAGTTACAATTACATGGACCTTATAATGTGCGGCGCCTTCCTAATGTGCAAGCACCGGAATAACTTTCTGTGTGTATGTATGTATGTATGTATGTATGTGTGTATGTGTATGTGTTTTTCTTTTTTTTTTTTTTCCTTTCCTTCCTTCTTTCTTTCTTTTCGTGTTTTTCTTTCTGTGAATATCTTTTTTTTAATATATTTAGGTGAATATATATATATATAATTTACCTTTAGTTATATGTGTCTCTCTCTCTGTCTGAGGAGAGGAAAGAGGGAGAGTCAGCAAGAGAATTTAAAGAAATAGGAGGAGAAAGGAAAACAGTGTTTTTTTTTTTGTATTTTTTTTTTTTTTTTTTTTTTTTTTTTTTTTTTTTCACACCTCTGATGGTAGATCAGTATTAGTGTATTCGTGTTTTTTCTTTTATTATTATTATTATTATTATTATTATTATTATTATT